AAGGATGGTATGAAACAAACATTGATGTTAACAAACTTGAAAATAATTTTCGCAAAATTATTTTGAAATTTCTCGGATAACCGCTAGATAGCGTAGTTGCAACGGAATTTTAAAAAGTCAATTTTATACAGAAATTGTCCCGATAAGGGAAACATCTAATAAGTTTAGTCAAAAGATCATAAAAAACCGTAGGTGCCTACTACTTTCCTTATGAACTTTTTTCCTAACTTTATTAAAAACTTTTTACTATCAATTGAAAGAGCAATAAAAACTCTACGATATGTGATATAAAAACCATCTTAATCATTTTCGAAAGATCCGCTGTTGCAAAAATTTATTTGCTTTAATTTTTCAGAAAAATTTCAAATGCTACCATAAAATTATTTTACACGCATTCGAAAGCACAGGAAAAAATGAATCAAACTCCAAAATTTTTAGATGTGGTTTTTTAATTTGAGGTGCGGTTAAAATTTAAACAAATAATTTTTTTAGAACAACGGATCTTTCGAAAATGATTAAGATTGTTTCGGTGTTCAACTTCCTTTGCTTAAGTTCAACTTTCCTTCCATTCCTTTGCATTAAGCGGTTTGACTCTCCCCCCACCCTGTTAATTTCACAAGTTAGGAAAAAAGTTCATAAGGAAAGTAGTATTGTTTTTTATAATTTTTTTATGATCTTTTTAGCAAACTTACTAGATGTTTCACTTCTCAGGAGAATTTCTGCGTAAAATCGACTTTTTAAAATACCATTTGCAATTACCGCATCTAGCGGTCATCTGAGAAATGTCAAAATAATTTCCAGCAAATTATTTTCTTCAAGTTTGTTATGAATTTTTTTTTGGACACACAAATACATTCCAAGATACAGCCGCTTACCATCCTTATTGCGACAAACACAATTGTAGTTTATAATAATAATATATCAGTTTATTTAACAAAAGTTATACGCAAAATTATGGCAGCAACAATAATTGCCATTTTTACAATACGTATCAGATGGCTCTTTTCTTGCATCAAAACAAATTTTTTCTTATAAATTTGCGAGTTAAACTACCGATGGTCGCGCTGAGAAACGTCCAATTACTTGTTGTCGAGTGACAGTTGAGACTTGTCAGAGTTTTTTATTTATTGCAGTTGATGGCAGAGAATAACATAAAACAATACTTACACACTTTTCGATCTGTTTCTATTTCTTTTCGCTTGCAAAACCACAGTCAGCAAAACACATACGCAAGCCAAACAAATCACAATCAGATGTAAACATCAAACTGACACTAATGTCAATAAAACAAGTGTCAAATTACTACTTAACTTGTAGTTATAATTTTAACCCCCAGAGGTCGCCTGGACTCGCGAATTATGTCTATTTTACATGTAGAACAAGAAATATTTTGAAAAAAGACAACTTTATAGGTTGTTAGACGTAGGACGGTTAGACGTCTAGCTTTCAACTTAACGAGTACGTGTCATTTTCAAAACTACCCAGAATAAAACTTTTTAATGGAAAAAAGTAACAAAAATAGAAATTTTAATTAAATAAACCTAGTAAAATCGGAAAAAAACGAAGAGTTTAAAGTTAGACATACGAAATTTGACCTATTATGCTGTTTTATTTCAGGATATTTGTTGTACATGTAAAACAGACATAATTTGTAAAAAAGCGTTTTTTACGCAAGAACCGTAACAAATCATACTATCATATTTAGGAATGTTTTCCGGGTTTTGAAGCCGTGGTCTATGGGAATTTCTTCCTGACGTTTCGTCCACAACTGCGGTGGACATTATCAAAGGCGATGAGTCAGTGGGCGAAGTGATCTCCCGTGCTTTCCGACTAAGACTTGTCTCTGGTTCAACCATAGAACAAGGCATATAGGGCTCAACTGCTGGATTTCCCGTCGTATTTCGTAAACGTCAGGAAGAAATTCCCATGGACCACGGCTTCAAAGCCCGGAAAACATTCCTAAATGTAATTTAACCGTCCGTGAAAGCCTTCATAGTCTGATAAATCATACTATGTTGAATCGTTGCTATTAAAAAAGCTTCCTTATAAATACTCCTAATACGTTATGTACTTTTTTTGGGTGCATATGAAAAACACAAGTTGATGATCGTTCCAAAGAAACGAAACGTTTTAATAAATAAATCTTGAAGAGCTCAAAAAGGTGCCATGAGAAAGTATTTTTGTTTTTTGATATAATTTTAAATAACTTCAACAATGAAAGAAAAACGAACGAAACATTTCTTTTTACTTTTCCGTATATTTAGGAACTCAAAATTTTCACATTATTTAACTATAAACAATCAGTTATTCACTTTAATTGATTTCACCAATTTCTTCATTAAACATAATCCGCAAAACGAACAAAGAACAAATATAAGTACTACATAAGATAATATATCAGAGAGTAACAAGTGGAGGACAATGATTACATTGGAAAGAAAATATTTGCCTCTTTGAAACTATAACAATTAAGTATATCGTATGAAACTATTAAATAACTGTAATAAATATGTAGATATACAAATGCAAAAACAATTTTTTTAAATTTACTTAAGGTATCGAGAATCTTCAAAATTAAATGTTGCGAGGATTGCACTGCTTAAGGACTTGTCGTTGATTTTGCTAAAAAATAATATAAGAATGTGTAGGATTGAAACGCAATTCCCCAACGATTGATCTGTTCTGAGAACGTTTACTACAAATATACGGAAAAGGTAGATTATTCTAAATGGACTACCGGTTATTTATTCGCCAAACCTATTTTCTTATTAATTATCAGATTAGGTACTCCCTTTAAAAATAGCTCGCTCCAGTATCAGTCAGATAACATACGAGTTTTGTGAAAATTAAGTACGTCTATTCTAAATACGCAGCAAAAAATGAACGATAACTTACATAAACGAAGAAGAGGACCAGTCAAAAACTCCAAGTGAGTCTAGTTGTTCTAGAATATACGCAGCTTCATTTTTAGTCGCCAACTGAATTTCACATGGAATGGACTTTTCAAGTCGAATTCCATAGAGAATTGCTCTGGAATAAACAAAAAATGTTGTACTCATGCTAAATATGAAAATTGTGATAACCGCAAAATTGGATCAAATTTATTTTGTACCTTGTGTGTACCTCCTAAATAGCTAAAGCAAGATGCCATTATTATTAAAATATTCTCAATAGTTTCTCAACTTATTCCTTTGACCAGTGCGGGAGATTAAAACTGCATTGTGGCAATGTTAGAAAATGTGCCAGATCTTCAAGCTTTGGCATGAATAAATTAAAACCAACCGGAGTCCGCATCGTTTCCTCGATCGCCAACTCATTCTACCCTAAAGGGCACGAATCTCCGGGAAAACGATGTGGACATTGCACTTAAAATTAATATTTATAAAATTTATCGTAACGGCCGCCCCACCAGGCGAAAGGGCAGCCCTGCCATTCTGATCAAAAACTCCCTCTCTCACTACCCAAACCGCCCAATCACTAACATCGAAATAGAACACCCAGCACTAAACCTTAACATGGAAAACTCCCAATTTCTGCCTACAAACCCCTTCAACAAACACGATGATTCAACACTGGCGTCATTCCTCTGGAGGTGTTTAAGGAGTACAGGAAAAATAGTAAAAAATTATTGATTGGTATTAAAACCTGAGACATTTGCAAGAAACTATATTAGAAAAACGGCAACAATGTTTTTCAAGGTAATCTGCCTAATTAACATTACGGAAATACCTGTTGCTTCCTAATTATTAAAAACTTCGGTAACCATGGATAAATAGAGAAAGTGACTGGAAGGAGTGAGGAATCTGGATTTCGAAACTCATAACCTCGAATTACTAATTTGTTTACAAATTACAAAAATATAGATTTGAGTCTGTAACTCCAAACAAGTGCCTGTGTAATCACCTTATTCACTCTTCTCGATAAGCTTCTCGTATTCGGTTAATTAACTCCTGCTCAATTTATACCGGTGTTCAGTAATCCATTGGTTTAATGTGATCTTACATACGTGGTAGGAATGTAGCTGATATTTATTTGGTGCCTAGGAAAGTGTCAGTGGTTGTACAATGTTCTGAGTGCCCTCAGAAGACTCTGCTGCAATGATGTCCAATACTTGTTCCTCTGTGTCTGAAGCCCGACCATCTATTGTCGTCCACTATCTTCCTGGAACCACTCTCCTCGCCCTTTGTTGGCCTGAGTTCTTGCATCTTCTGCTATGTTACTGTAGCATTTCCCCTGGACTAATCGCATATCCGCAAATTCGTGAAAGGAAATTCAAAGTAAATGATTCAAAGTTTGTCAAATTATTGTTATTATTTTAGGGCTATCTACCTGTAACTATTTGTTGATGACAAAAAACATTATTGCCTTTTTAACTTTTTCTCAAAAAATTATACAGAACTTTTTTAATATCAAAAATTTTCGTGATTTGAAGCAAAGATTGTGATTTTCCTTTTTGAATACTTAAGTATTTCAATATGCTACCTACTAAACATGGAACAATTTCAAAATAATGCTTAATAACAAAGTTGAAATGCGATTTAACTGATATCTTCTAGAAATTATGGAAAACACATTTCAATATTTTTCTCGAACCTTCCAAGTGAGCCCCTATTACCCATTAAAAGGAATGACGCCAATTTTGAATCACCTTGTATACACAACCGCACAAGATTATGACAACCTTTTCCACAAAAACATCCTTGCACTCGTCGCAGGGGACTTAAACTTCAAAACACCATTTGGGATTGCAAATCTCCCACCGACGAAGGCCGAAATTTTCCACTGCATTAACATACATAACTCTGACTCACTCAGCTCCGGTCACAACCCCATAATCATTGACATCAACGAACAATCCACAAACAACCCCTTAGCCCCAATTACATACACCGACGGGAACGCCCTCGGCTTCCTTGGCGAGATTCAAACTCAGGACCACTCTCCCAAAAACGTTAAGGAGCTTATCTCCTTTTCAGACAAAATCTCAAATTGTATCTCTACAGCCCTTGCGAAAGCTCTTCTTCTTCTACTTGTTGGAGGAGATCTAGTTGATCTGTTGATTCCGTGCTTGCCTCGGTACCTGTTGTTTCCTGAGATGTGGACTGCCAGCTGTCTCTCCATCGCTTTGGTGGTCTTCCAGATGGACGGATCCCTGCTGATTTTCCCTCTAGTACAATGCGTGGTAGTCTTTCGTCGGTCATCCTCTTCACGTGGTTGTGCCATTCTCTTCTCCTCTGCCTTCCCCATCTTACCACATCCTGTACGTCGCTTTGTGCTCTAATATCTATGCTTTTTACATGGTGTAAGATTCTTGTTTTCCCGGCAATTGTCCTCAGTACTGACATTTCGACGACTCGCATCATCTTCTTGGTCTTGTTGGTATCCTCTCTCGCTTCTGTAGGTACCATTTGCCATTATGGGCCTGGCGCATGTCTTATATAATCTTATCTTACTTTCCTTCCGCATATAAGGATTAGCCCATACAGTTTCCCTTAGACAACCTGATATTATGGCTGATTTGTTAATTTGGTTTATCAAGTCTTTGGCCGGGTCGTGAGCGCTGGACATATCGATGCCCAGGTATCTAAACTACGTGACTTGCTCTATGGGTATATTATCTATTACCAGCTTGCATCTCATGGGTTCCTTAGCGATGGTCATGGTTTTCGTTTTACGGTGGAACTTAAATAGCTGGCTCTGTAGGTCATCCTCACTTTCGGCGAAAATAGCAGCGTCATCGGCATAGAAGACCATGCTAATAGCCCTGTTGTTCATTCTGTATTCCGAGTTCAGAAAGCTAACTTCTTCTATGATTTTGTCCATCAGGAGGTTGAATAGTATTCTACTCAACCTACATTTAAATGAACCAAGGCTATCTCCCTGTCTAATTTCCGCTGGGGTGGAGAAGCTAGGTGTTTGTGAAAAATTGTGGTAAATTTTTCGCAAAACGGTTAAGGAAGCGACCGTTTATTGGAACAATAAAAGTTACCTTATAATTTTTTACAGAAAATACTTGAAGATTGTCAGTATTTTAAGTAAAACTAAAAAATTATGCGATTTTTGCGTAAAAATCATTACTTACCAGAAACTTTGTTAAAACTGGAATGACCTGAAAATTTAAACGAACTTCGAGAGCGATGAAGGCGGCGAATTTTCCAAATAATTTTTTGTAAACTTTTGCTCTCTGGCGGTTTTTTCAAGATAATCCTAATTACTTTCGGTAAAAAAACTAAATAAAATTATTTGGTTTTGGTGCCAATTCGAAACTGAATTGGGTTTTCTAAAGTTCTCTGAAACCGATGAATGAGGCGAATTTTCTAGCTAAATTAATTTTATAATTTTTGGCTGAAAATACTCCATTATTACCAGAAAAGAAGAAAATCATCAGAAAATAACGTTTTTTTGCATTATTGTTTAAAAACTATATTTTTTAGTTTTGTGTTCGGTTTTGAAGAAAACCTTAATGGTTTTCGGGAAAAAAACGGGAGGAATTTATTTTCGTTTTTCTCCCGAATTCGCCGCTGAAAAAGCATAAAATAAGTAAGATTTTTAAAAAGCTAGAAATGTAGCAGCTTTTGAACGTTGTTGAGTAGAAAGTAAAGAAAAAAATTAAGTAAAAACTAAAAACCACGTTTTTTTAACAAACTCTACAGTCTTTGGAGGAATGGTGGTGATGAGATTTTCAAATAATCTGTTGTAAACTTTCGCTTATTCTGTTCGTTTTCTGACAGAAAATGTTTTGATTTTTGTTCCAAATTCGAAGCTGGAAAAGGATTTGCAAACTTTTGACAAAGCGGAGAAGTATTCGAAATTTATTTCATAATTTTTCGCGGAAAATATCTTAATATTGTCAGCATTTTTAAGTAAAATTTTAGAAAATTAAGCATTTAGAAGGAGTAACTTAGCTAAAACTATAAAAACTTGAAATTTTGACAATTTTTTAAAAATATTATTAAGAAATGGCCCTTAAAATAAATCTAAAATCAAGTAAAAAAAGTCATCAACATTTTCCTAGCAACGGAACTGAGTTAGTGCGCCGGTGCGAGTTGGCGCACCAGACCATTTGCGAAGCACTGCGCCAACTCCTAAAAATTCACTGAGTTACCTAGGCCTACTCAGATGGGACACGGACTTAAGATTGACTGTAGACAGTCTGAAGATATACGCGTCAGAAGTCATAGCTATGGTAATGCTAATAAGATGTTTTATTAAAAAGCAAACTTTCAAATTAATCCATAAAATTATATTTAAAACAAGGCACGAATTGTATTTGCTTGACAACTACGAGTGGGACAACAATTCAAACATTGTAAACTTGTCTTCAAATTACGTAAGACAACGCACATTGATGCCATTGGGACTTCGATAATCAAGTATTTCCCGAAAATAAAATGAGCTTTTTTGTAACAATTTAACGAAATACTATGCCTGCTGAAAACGGATGTATGGAATGGTTAAGCTAAAACTTACCTCATTTTCATCAACATATTCATGTTGTTTAATTTGTTCTGGTTAGTTCTAGAATATACGCATGTATAGCAGCTAAACTTAGTTTTATCAACAGCTTCGATACTGATGTATCCGTGGCATGCTAAATGCACTTTTCCAAAACATTTGGTGCATTTTATGGTTTCATATTTGTCAGGCAGTCGCCATTTACACGGACAGTATGTGTCTTCACTGGACAGGATAGAAATATTTCCCCAATCAATTTCTAAAAATTGCCAGGTTTTTGGTTTGATCATAATATCTTAACAGTATAAGTAGATAAGAAAAGTGTGATTTTGATACGCAAAACTTGCCTCCATTTGTACTTATGTCACTATTAGGTGATATGACCTGCAGTTTATGTTTTTTTGACGCATTTTCGCCGCATGTACCATCTAAAAGATTTCATTACAAGTTAGCACCTTTTACCTGGGAGGCATAATTTGAAATGAACACTTATGTGCGTGAAAACTTCTCACTGTTGTGTTTCCGCTTCAGCTCAGGGATGTCTTCCATATTATCATCATCCTCCAACAAATTGTTTTTCGCATTACTTACTGGGACTGAACTGTTTTCAGAATGGGTAAGTTTTCGAACTTCGGCAAACTGCGTCGAAAAACAAAACCAATATTTATACGCGCATCCGGAAGCCCATTCGCAGTTTCGTATTATTCCATAGAAGTGCTTTACATTTACAAACTTACATTTGCGCCGCGGCCCCACGAAATAACTTTATGAAAGCCAGTGGAAATATTTCCCAAGCTTGTTAAGTTATTTGGGTTAGAACACAGCAGTTCTTTGGTTGGCTCAAAGTTAGGAGGCTCATATTCAATTGGAACGCCTGAATAACAGATAACCATTTTGGTTACGAAAAGGTTCCGGTTGCTTCAGAGCATACAAACCTTTGTTATAAAAAATCTCGAAAGACATTTTCACATTGTCTTCTTGCCACTTCTTCCCTGGTATTCCAGTCAGAACTTTAAAGTACTCCATGGTTGCGGCTTTTACTGCTGAACTTTTCTGATTAGACTTGGAATCTTGCTTGTTGTATTTAATTTTTATGTTGTAAGTTTCCAAGAGCTCGTCACTATCTTTTCCGATGATGTGCATTGCAATTTCCTTCAGCTGAAATGTTTACTTTGCATTATATTCCTTGAATATAATGAAGCGCAGAAGAATATAGCACTCCGACATAATGCTTAATTTTTGAAGGAGAAATATTGTTAAGAGTCAGCTGAATCTTAGAAACACTGTAGTGTCTCTAATAAGGTCATAATTTATGAGGGGCTGGCAAAATATTTAAATTCTTTATGGATTGTTAACTACTTACATAATCCTTTTCTATAGCTTCAATGATACCATTGGAAGCCGAATGATAATATACCCTGATAAAAGTATTTTGAGATTTGCGTTTACATACTCTATAGGGAATGTTTTGATAGTTCTTCACCTCAAATTCCTTCTCAGAAATCGCAATTCGCTGGTAAATAATGTTCAATATCGAGATTTTCACCAGTCTCTTGGCATATTTCTTGGATAGTTGGAAAGTGTTTACTGAGTTTTTTACATCGCTGTTCGTTAAAACCTGAAGAATACATAAGCGCGACTTGAAAAATGTATGCGATATCATGGTAGGAAAGCTAAAACTATCTCTTAAAACATCTCACATAATTAAAAAAAGGGGATTTTTATGTAGTTTACACACGACGGATTACTCATGGTAAACAAATTGAAGTTTGAAAATGTTTTAAAGCTGCATCATTACAATGTTCCAATAAACATAACAGTTTAGCTACAGCTGGAAGGTTCTCTAGCTGACTTGATATTAGCTCATGGATACATTTAATTCTCATATATCTGCCCGAAGACGAGTTGTATAATTTTCCTACTTTTTTTGTGATGGCTCTATGATTATCATTTGAAGTTAAAGATCGAATGGTGTAATAGAGTTCAGTTCATAATGGTGAAGGTTTTATAGCTTGTATGTGCGATTTAATTTAAATATCTTCTGAATGGTAACGTTCACAAGGGCGGATCCAGCTTTTGAGTCAGGGGGGTCAAGTAGTAGAAATTCAGTCTTTTGTTGCCTATGCAATTAGAAAAAATATTGTCAGTCGTTATAAACCCAGCCCAAGGAGGGCTCATGACACCCATGACCCCCCCTGCATCCGCCCTTGAACGTTCGCATGCAGGGAAACTTTCCTTTTTCAATCACACGACGATAAAATAGAAGTCGAGTTCACACTTGCCTTAAATTTATATTCGTAATAGAGCGTGCACCTCTACACAATATTTGAATACTCGAATTATTCGAGTTTGATTCCGAGCCCTAATAGAAATCAATATAAAGGTGCAATTTTTACAGAATCATCAACATCATCAATTCCATCAGTTTGTTTACTTGTAAACAAGTATGTTTTATTTACCAATAAAACAATTTTGTATAAATTAAACGTATGTAGTGAATACAGGGGGGGTGCAAGACTTTTGCAAGTGAGTGTATTTGCGCACCGATGTTATATGAACGTTTCGGCATGAAACAACCTCAGGTAAAGAAATACTCATGTAGGCGATAGTTTAAACACCCTGTATATTTAATATAGATCTGCAATGCTCTTCAATATTCAATCAAACAAAAAAAGTTGCGCTTTTGATTGAGGTCAGTTTTCTAAATCGCCTCTTGAATTTCGAACGTACGTTTCGTATTTTCCTCTTGAAAACCTAGCAGGAATAAAGAATGGCGCAAGATATGAAATTGTAAGCCGAAAAAACTAAAACAAATGTAGATTTTAAATACTTGTAGAACATAACACGCAACGAAACATTCTGAATAGGTTTTCAATGTTTAACTTGGATTTGGGTGATTGCTAAAGCATAATGAAAAACTATTCCGACAAAAGCCTGCTAAAAACAGGGTATATAAGATGCAGTACAAATCTTACCAAATTCATCGACGCAAAAGCTTTGGATTTCATTTTATTGATTCTGATTACGGAAATAACTTTTGAAAGCGTGAAAAACCGAAAAACTAGCAAAATTAATGTCAGATAAGTTTTTCCACAAAGTTCCAGACAATTGAATGTCGCTGTCAAACATTCGCGGTTTGCGTCCGTATGCCAGATATCACGCAACCAAGAAAACACCGTAATGGCTGCTGGCGGCTTTCAACCGTCTATTAATAATGTTATTTGTTTTTAAAAAAAAATAGTAATAAATATATGAATACTTACTTCGTTATTGACTGATCATATATTTTAATACTTCTCTTAATTATTTGTTTATTGTTGTATAAGCAAAATATGCGAGGAGCAACTAAATGTCGCCGATTTTTACCTTAAAGAACACTTCAAATTAAGCACTTTTTGCGAAAAAAAATTCACCAGTGTTTTTCGCAAAAGTTTGAGCATTTTTTCCAACGTCGTCCATTGATTGAGGTTATCTAGCGCGCTGTTAGTCAGATTTTATTAACTAAAAATCTTTGCCGCAGTTTGGGTTTTTTTTTTTTGGGACTCGAAATTTAGCCTGAAAGTAGTAATTTTTCTCAAACTTTGTGAGTGTTTTTCAGCTTAATTTATGGACCATACAGGAAATTTTTGAAAAAAGGGAAGAAAAACTGAAAATTTGGAAGGACTCAAACGACACAAGCACCTGATATTTATTAGAAATTTAAGGACTTAAAGGACTAGTCGAGTTGCCGTTTTCTCTCTCTTTATCATCTCTCTCATATACGTCTGGGTTTCATAGGGGTTCAGGAAGGCGAGAAGTTGCTTATGGTCAACAAAAGCCAAATCGCTATTTATTTTTAATTTTTGCTAAGGTAATCTGATATCAGGACTGCCGTGTTACCGTTTAAGACTATGTCCACCTTATAGAAAATATCATAACCATCAACATTTTTCCTATAGATTTTTCGAGAAAATGCCGTTTTTCACGACTTTTCACCCTCTGAAATTCACCAATTTCCAAAACAAATCAAAAGGCACCGCCATGATGGTTTTGCTCTTGGCGCCGGCGTGTCAGTCCAAATTTTTTGCGCAGTTGCCAGTATTATTATTACCACTTCCTTAACCAACGACGCATCAAATTGAAAACTCCAGAATTTAAAAGTTAAGTTTTAAAGTTGGAAATTTTTGGACAATGGCCGGTCTTGCAACTTATAGTGTGTGTACCGTTGTGCGGTGCAGTAACTGCAGTATAACTGAACCAGACTTTTATCAAATTTTGCTAGATTGCAATTAGAAAGTTATTGGAAATTATAAGTACTGTAATGCAGTAATAAGGTTAATCCTTATTTTAACACTGCATTTGCCTTATTTCTCTAACGAAATGATAGTTATTGGAATGCCTAATTCACTGCTTTCAGTATCCACAGTGGCCACCGACCACAGAAATTAGTGATCTGTGGACTTAACCTGCAAGCGGACGTTAGAAATGTCAATTGCCAGTATAAGGTAGAAATAAAGCGTACAGTATTGCTGCACAAATAGCACGGAACAGTACCCTTATTAAGGGGTCCCTTATTTTCTGACTCAATTGCGCAGGCGCGTATGTTTCAAAATACCACTAGCTTTATTACTGCATGTCCTTATTGAGCGTCCAATAATGGTGGGTATATATATATAAATAATCTTTATTTCCTATAGAAAAAGGCTATCGACCCAATCGGTCTTTCTGCCCTAATGGTGGGTATATACCCGAGAATAAGGATAAGGCTTAAGGCATAAAAAGAACGCTTTATTAGGAATAACGCCACTTGGGGTGTATATAAAGCAGAATAAGGAACAATATTATTTTATGTACAGCCACTCAAATTGCAGCATAGGCTTAAGAAACAATAGGGTTGTGTCAACATTATCGCGATAACATACCAATAAAAGCTTATTTCATATATACCTATATTGTACATTAAAATGGATTTGTCCTCTGAAGAAGTTGTAGTTCGTTTTGGTTTAATAATTTCGTTTTCTAACCTCATAACAAACTGTAAATACGATGTTTGGCGGTCACATGGGATATTGGAAAATCATTTATCTTACAAACTGCGCATGCCTCATTAGAATAACGCCTAACAGATAAGATAAAAGTTGAAAGTTGGCAGCTTTCTTAAGCCTTATTCCTTAAGCGTTAGGCACTATTCGGTTTATAAACACCTCTATGGACTAACGCACAACAATCTTTTAAGATACGCCTTAATCATTAAGCGTTATTCCTTATTCTCGTGTATAAACCCACCATAACTCTCTATTCTCTATTGAACGTTTGTTTTGATTGGGATTTTCTACTTTGATGGCAATATAGCTGAGCGGTATCGAATTTTCGACTGCGCGTACGGTGCGTGCGGGCTTGTGCGTGGGTGACAGCAGATCGTATTGTTAAGCTTTACCGCACTTACTCTTGGTAAAAGTTCTGGCGGAATTGCGGTTTTCCGCATTTCTTTGTCCGGTTGACCTTCTTCGTAACTGCTCTAGTTCTGAAGATCCTTGTACTAGTCATCGAAAAAAAATCACTCTGTATAATGATTCAACTTAACGTCTAATTTACGCTTTTGCATTCGTCAGCTAGGCGTCATTGTGATTGGTCATTTAGACGTACTAAAGCTGTGACTTACGTCACAGTCAGTTGGACGTCTAACTTATTAGTCCATGGACTAATATAAGACGAATGTCGTCATTTGGACGTCATCTAGACCAAAAATGCTACATGGGCTGCAATGTGAAGGGACTTGTGTGATCGAAAACCGAAAGGAGTAGATCAAGATAATTAGCCATCCTTAATAGTATAGTTTTGCCTTCAACCGCGGGGTTTTCTCATGTGGCCCATAAAAACCGGTAATGTAGGGCTGATTTGAATAAAAAGCGGACCAAATGCGGCTCGTCCGCACCCTTGTCTGGTAAGGAAATGCTCCAGGAGTTTGGCGGCCGTAATAAAGGCTGACCCCCGTTTCTTCCGTCGGCCCAGCCGACCTCGGGGCTTCCAAAGCCACGCACACGTGCTCCCGTCCAGGGCGCAGGACTGAGCCCGTAGCCGAAACGTCCTGCTCGCCCTCCCGAAGCCCATTCCTTGCGGGACAGGCGCTCGAATATACCGGCGCTCCTTCGGGACTTTCTCAATCTGATGCCGATATGGAGCTACAGGGTGTTGGGCCACATTGACCATTGAGCTTGTCGCGTGACTTTTACGGGCAGATGTCGCGAAAGTGGCTGTGGAGTGACTGTGCGTCCTGCTAGCAATGCTGGAACCGCTTGGATGGGTGAGAGCATGCTGTAAGGACTCACAAGCTCACAGATTTTCATAATGGTAAGAGTATGTTTGTAGCAAGAAAACCCTGGAAAACGGGCAACAGTGTCGTTTTGTATATGTAGGTATATGGGCCTCCGTGTATCAGTCGTCATAAAATATCGCATGATTAATACTTAATTAAGGAGCATATAAAAAGCGCTTTTAATAAGCGATCGATGCGGTTTGCCTGCATTTACATGCATGGAAATACAATCTGCTCATTGCATATTAATCAGGCCTTGGCTAAAAATACCCACTTCGAGGTGATTGGGAAAGCTGCAGTTCCCAAATCCAGTCCCCGAAAGACCATGCAACAGCACCCTCCCCCATAAAAAACCACACTAAAACTGCCCTAATTTGTAACGCGCGACTGTGTTACGTGTGTTTGCGCGTTTCGTCCTAATTAAATGTGAGATCGGGTAGTGGAACACGTTCATGGACTGTGAAATTTATAAAGCATTATGCTTATCCAGGAATAAATTGTTAAATATTCATGAGCCGGCGAGGGTCAGGCTTAAACGATGCTCGAGAGAATCTGTTAGTGGCGATGATCCAGGGATAGGGAGCGAATGGAGAAAACGGCACTTTGAACTATCATCCAAAAAACAGAGAAACTATCGAATAGCTTGCAGTTTTTAAATCAGATGCATTTTGCAAAAGCGGCAACATACTTGGCACACACAAACTTTGCCGACTATTTTTCGGCGATTTCCCACCATAACGCAAACTGACTTAAAGCTCGTTCACACGGTGACATTAATGTACTGACATCCAATGTCGTGACGTGAATTGCACAACAATGTCATTGTCTGAACACCCGAATGTCTCAATGTCATGGTGTCGTGACACATTTCAAAATGGTTTGTTATTCGCGCGATCAACTACCGATGGGGGCGCTGCCAAACTTCAAATTAGGCGTAGCCGAGTGTCAGTTGGGACTTGTCAGACTTGTTTATCTAATGGAATTAATAAACAAGCGAAATATGAGAGTTGAAATCGTAACAAAAATGAATATGAATGAAGCAAAAAACAAAAATGAAAAGCTTGCAAAAATTGATTAGATTAAAAGAAAGCAAATCACAATTAGATGTAAACACCAATGTAAACAAAACAAGTCTCAAATTACTAGTTAACTTATAGTTATAATTTTAGACACCTGGGAGGGTTTGGACTCTTAAACTTGCGAACCGCGACACAGTAATGCCAGATCGGTAAAAAAATCCGGTTTTTCCTAGAATTTCAATAAAATTATAAATAAAAATGTTTTATAAAAAATGAAAAGGAAAACAAAAAATTATATTGGAAACGGTATATTACGAAATTGTAAAAAATGGAATTCATAATTGAGCTTCAATTTGTATTCTTCTGATTTATTTTTTTTAATTCAAGCTTTAATTTAAATAGGTATTTGACAAAGTTTATGTGTAGATGGGGCAGTTGCGAAAACACACTCAGTGCAGGTCAATCGCTTTTTGCATCCCAGTAAAGATTATTTCCCGTAAATTAAAAAGACCTTAAAGGAGACTCTTAACTAATTGAGATTACTTTTAAAAATGTGTGGTTCTTTTCTACTTGTTAGCCTTATGTAGTCCGATATATTAATATTTTCTTGCCAGAATTCAATTTTTATGCAGATAAACGAAAACTCTTAAAAATCCCTAGACAATTATAACAAATCTATTTTTTCTTTTGCTTGAAAAAAATCCTTAGAACTAGGGAAAAGTTACCTAGTATGGCATTACTGCCGTGACATCCTGACACTCCCGATGTCTCCGTGCTTTGAATATAAAACTAACTTAAAACTAGTTAGTTTTATATTCAAAGTCTCGGTGACATTTCTTTAAGGTTATCAATCTCTTTTGATTTGATTACATTTCGGGAATATGACCAATCATATCCATGTCTATGGGATAAATCGTATCGTATAAATCGCCCATTATAAGGATAGACAAAAACGTGAACAAGCAGAAGAAGCGCTTCTAGAAATTGTTAACTTAGAAAAGGTGATTTTTGATGCCCCTAGTTTGTTTGTACGCCTAATTCACTGTCTCATCCATACCCGTTTTTTTTTTATTTTCGCCTTAATTTTAAAATAATTACTTCTTCTAACACGTCCGCTACTGTCTGTCGCGATACTATGTGTTACGCCCGTATGCATTGTAGATCCCAGCGATTCGCCGATAACATATGTCGGCATAGCGAAAAGCGAGTCGCCAGCGAAACAACGGCGGCAATTCAAAAGATAGATAGATAGATAAAATGTATTAAACATAATTTTTTGTTTTTTTTAATATTCAATTTTGCATCCAAAATATCTCGATGAACAGTATACAATATTTCGAGATATCGATCCATATTTAATAGCCTAAAATGTTCTTAACACTTATATTAATTAACTTATACTAAAACACATATAGCCCAAAAAGTAAGTAAAAGTATTTACTTGGCGAGTTGTCGGAGATGGGTAAGACCAGCTCCAACATTTCACCAAAAAACACCGAATTGAGCATACGTAAGATCGGCGAACGAACGATTATGATAATATTTTTATCTCGGCCAACGAATATTTTTCTGCCAGTGCTGCCAAGTTGAGTGACAAATCGCATATTAGGCGATCAAATGTGCTAAAATGCGTCTCAAATGTTGAAATTGCGATATGTGCCAAAAAAGCACCACAAAGTCTTCGTCAACGTTGGGCGATTTTGGCGCTATTTTGTGTGTGACTATGCGACTTTCTTTACCTAAACCTTGGCAACAATGTTTCTGGGTTCATTTATGTCGGCGACATTACGGCGAATCGGTGCTGCTTAACTATGTATATCGGCGTTAGTATGTGTGAACACCTAGGATCATGAATGTCGAAAACTGTCACGGAATTAGATGTCACGACACTGATGTCACCGCCTGAACGAAATTTAATAGTCACTTTCACATTCCCATCAACGGTATGTCAAAACCACTGCTAGTTCAGTCATATTCGAGCAAGTAGCTGTTGTCAGATTCCCACGTCAAATTTAATTTAAGTCTACAGGCTCGTTACCAGTTGCTAGACGAGGACCGCAGCTGGCCCCCTGGAAGCCTCAGTTATGCGAAAGTTGAGTCGCAAAGCGTCAAATTAATTGAAACTTTCGGCTGCAAGTTAGCTAAAGCTCGTCGCACACCAACTCCGGCAACAACCAGCAGTCGTTCAATTCAGCCGGTGATAGTTGAGCAGCAATCAGAATTGCCAATATAGCGTATCATTTTCTCCTAATGATGTCTTATGGTCAAGCTTGTTGTCTATTTGCTCTTGATGGTAAACAGTTGCACCTTGGACAATAGTCCAATATAAAAGATGTATACTGAAAATGAAATTTTGGTGCCTCTAAACTATCGAATCCTGCAGCACCATGTTGCCGCTAAACAGTCCCTTTGGGTCTCCCGATCATATTGTTTTTGGTAGGTGGCCTGAAATTCTCTCGCGTTTTAATCGGCATTATCCGAAGTTTTCGGGGGAATTGGCGACCTTCCGGAACACTCCACATGGAATTAAGCCCCGGGAATCAACAACAATATATCTATATACTGGGGAATATAAGGGAATTCTTCGGGGCCATGTCGTCGCTGGCGTGTTGTTGAGGAGGGGTGGCTTTGTTTCTGCCGTGAAGTTTCAAGTAGGTCATCAATGTCGAGGCGGGGAGTTGGGGCCAATCAATAGGGGGATTTTTCTTTCTTGAAAATACCCGGAGATTTGCCCGAAAAAATTCAATTTCTATTGCGGCCGATACGCTCCAATAGTCGGAGAAATCAATTGACAATAGGCTCTTTGCATTATTTTTTTTTTAATTAAAAACACACTAGAATACAAGTTTTGTTGCATATAAATACACTGCAAGAAAAATAAATCCGGAAAAAATTATTTTGCTATTAAATGGGCTTTCAAATCTGATCAGATTGACGTCATGCTGAAACACCATGTGATTAGTCCGACGTCACAAGACACGCCGGCCTGCCGTAGTCCAGTACTTGTCTTTATCTATGGTCCAGTAGTGTGATTATGTAAATGTTGTTTTATGTGGAAAATGGCTGATGAAGAATTTTTGAAAGCTCAATCAGACAACTTTTCGTTGCCTACCTAAACCGTTGCAACAACCTAAATGCCGTTTTCCACCACTTTTCGCCCTCTGAAATTCACCAATTTCCAAAACAAAACAACGGTCGCCATGATAGTTTAGCACTTTGCGCCGGCGTGCCACTCAACATTTTTCGCGTAGTTGCCAGTACTATCATTACCACTTCCTTAACCACCTACGCGATCAGTTTTGCTGAAACATTGAAACAGAATCAATTTGAAGATTGAAGAATTTGAGAATTTTAAAGTTTTTTTTAATATAAAATAAATAGTAATTAGTAATACCCAG